TGGGGCCTCCTCTGGACTCTCTCCAGCAGCTCCATGTCCTCCCTGTGCTGTTCCCCAGGGCTGGAGCAGCTCTGCAGGGGGGTCTCACCTGAGGGGCAGAGGGGCAGAATCCCCCCCTTTACCTGCTCTCCACGCTGTGGGAACAGCCCAGGACACGTTGGAATTCTGGGCAGCCGGAACACACTGCTGGCTCGTGTCCAGCCCCTCTTCCGCCACACATTGTTTGATAAAGCACCAAAACCGTGTGTGCTCGAATCCAAGCCAAGCCACAGCACTCCTTGGAAACCTTACACATGTACCTGACTTTCTTTCCTTCTATAATTCACTATTTGTTTTCATTTAGACTGTAAAACCTTGGCGACAAGGACTAATCTCTGCTTTTACAGTCCCCAGAACCGAGTTCAGGGGTAGGTGTGGCTCCATTTATTATCAAGTGAAAAACTTTGTATTTCTGTGGAAGTGCTGTGTAGAGATGTGACTTTTTTTTACTGTTTCTCTCCCCTCCACTCTCATCATCCCCCCCTTGGATCTCAGTTGTTTATTCCAGGGCAGAATACTAAAAAACTGACACTAATGTTTTGACCATGAGTGTCAAAGTTAATTTTCCCTTCACTGTGAGTGCCACAAAATGCTTAATATATGTTCAAGGCCTTTGCAAGCAGATAACTCCAATCTGTACTCAAGCAAACACCCAGGAGTTTGTTTTTGTTGTGTTTTCCTAGGATTTCCAGGTGAGTCAGTTCTGAGTTAAAAGAGCTCATAAGAGCTTTGATTGGCGTCAGACTCCTTGCAGTGGTGTGTGACCTGCAAACCTTTGGCTGGAAGAGCAGCCAGAGCCTTGGAGAGCAGGAGCTGAGCCCTTGAGATGAGTCAGGAACAGGCTCATTCTCTGCACTCAAGCTTAGAATTTGTTCTTGAGAATCCCAAGAAGGGGAGGAGAAACTTCTTTTCCTCTCCAGAGCACAAGTGCACCTGGCAGAGGTGACTCTCCCAGGGTGGCTCAGCAGTACAGTGGCCAGAAAAAACCCAGTGCTGGGCTGTACTGGGATGTTTCCCAGCCATCCCCGGTGCAGGACAGGGAATGGTGACTTTTGGGACTCATCTTTCTCACAAATGGAACTGGATCCTTGCAGTCGGGGCACAGGCAGGGACAGTCCCGCTCAGCTGTTGGTCATGTCCTGTCCTGTCCTGTCCTGTCATGTCACTCTTCATGTGTCTCCTGCTGCTCCCTGTTTGTCCCCAGCTCAGCTCTCAGCCCTCCCTGTTATGCAAATTCTCCTGCTCTTGTCAGGCGAGTCCCAGCCTGTGATCCTTGAATAGTTTCTACTGATTAGAGGAATCGGCAGAGCTTCCCAATCCCGCTCAGCTCGGCACTTCAACGAGCTTCAAAGAGGGGAGATGTTTTTATAGACTTACATAGTAGGGGCTTAGGAACGCTTTTAAAGGTGAGGAAAAGCACGAAAAGGAATTAGGGAATCAAAGGAAGAGCTTGTCCCCAGGGCATGTCACCTCTGTGCTGCGGAGCTTTCCCTCCTTTCTGAAGTGCTTTCTGTTCTCTCTACATGCTTGTGCATGACGTGTGTGAGGGCTTTTTGTCCAAGGGCAAGCTGAATCAGATCCCTGGTGAGGATAAGGTAGGATACACAGGGATGGTATGACAGGTATTCCTGTCTGTAGCATGGAAAATACTCAGCATATTTTATCCTTACTCATTCCTTGTGTACATCAGGTAATGACTCAGCTCAGTTTTGGGCCCCTCACTCACACCGAGGGGCTGGAGCGTGTCCAGAGGTGGGAACAGAGCTGGGGAAGGGTCTGGACAACCAGGAGCAGCTGAGGGAGCTGGAGAGGGGCTCATCCTGGAGAAAAGGAGGCTCAGGGGGGACCCTCTCACTCTTTACAACTCCCTGACAGGAGGAGGGAGCTGGGGGGGATGTCAGGCTCTGCTCCCAGGGAACAAGGGACAGCAGGGGAGAAAACAGCCTCAAACTGCTCCAAGGGAAGTTTAGGTTGGATATCAGGGAACATTTCTTCACCCAGAGGGTGGTGAAGCACTAGGACAGTGTGCCCAGGGCAGTGATGGGGTCACCACCTCTGGAGGGATTTAAAAGCCATGTGGATGTGGCACCTGGGACGTGGTTAGTGGTGGGTTTGGCAGTGCTGGGGGAATGGTTGGACTCCATGATCTTCAAGGTCTTCTCCAAACTAAACAATCCTATAGTTCTGTGATTCCAGGGCTGTGCTTTTAGTTCTGAAGCTTGCAGTGAGTATGGAGAAAAAGTAATTCAGCATTCAAAGCCCTTTTCACACATTTTCTAAGAGTTTTCAAAGGGATTTTTGTTCACTGTCTTGAGAATGGTTGGTGTTTTATCTGCACTGTTGCAAGTGAATCCTGTGAGATTCCCCATGGGAAGACAGCAGAGAGCATCCTTCAGCTGGGAGAGGGGGAATCAGGGTGTGAATTTGCTCCTCTTCAGCCTGTCACTTCCTTCCTGCTGGTGCTTTTTTGTGTCATCTGGAGTCTCCCACCAGAGACATGATGTGTACAGAGCTGCAGCAGCTGGTGCTGGGCACTCTCAGCACTGGTTGTGACTTCCCAGGTTGGCATTTCATCCTTCCCCTGTGCTGCTGCTGCCTCGCTGCTGTGGCTGTTGGTTGCTGGGACATACTCTGGTGATTCCCTGTTGGGTGTTTCTGTGGTTGTCCTGCACCTCCAGCACTCCTGTCACTGCAGCTGAGCATCAGAGTTCCACAGGGAGCAGGGGGCAATGCCACCTTCTGCCAGCTCATGGCCTGGGCCAGGCAAAGGGAATGATGAAAGCAGGGATTTCTGATGCTGTAGGATTTTTAACTGTACCAAGGTCAACCCATGGACGTCGAATAAACTCAAGTGCTGATGGTTGTGAGAGCACCAGGGCTGGAGGGTTGTGGTGTCTGAGAACACCAGGGCTGGAGGGAAGGCAGAAGGATGGGGGGGCCTCATCTCAGCATGACCATACCTTGGAAGAGCAGTGATGTCACCCCTTGTGCCCAGGCCTTGTGGAAGGGTTTTCTCACAGGCACGGTCAGGTGAGGAGATGTGTCAGGAGGGGCTTTTCAGGTCAGTCATTCCTCTTGCACAACCCCTGACCACCAACAAGCAGAAGCAGGACATCCTGTGTGGAAACATGCCCCAGTTGGACCG